ATGAAGTGTTAGATTAGAACACACAACAAGAATAAATAATGAAAATAAATGAAATGGTACCATCTCATAAATTCAATAATTAACACCACATAAACAACAAAAATCAATAAATCACAACATGAAATAGAATAAATAAAAATTTAATTGATTTATAAATAATAAGAAAAAGAATGAATTTAACAAGAGATAATAAAAAAGAAAATAAAAAGAAAATAGGTAGAATAAATATAAATATAATGAAATACTAATATTAATTAATCATATAAGAATAATTAAATAAATGATGAATTTATTCTTAAAATAACAATGATTTGAACTTTGAATTGAAATTATCATTCATTTTATTCATTATTGTTGTTATTGTTTATGATTTATTTATTAAATTTAATGTTTATTTAATTTTGTTGATTAAATTACAAAAATGAATTGAATTTTAATTTAATATTTCATTTCATTCTATTTATTGTTGAAGTTCAAAATACAATAATACATCAATATAATGAAATGAAAAATGAGTGATTGAGTCATTATGAAGTAAAAAGAAAGTAAATGATAATAATAGAAAATGAAGAGAGGATTTAAAGGGAAAAACTTACATACATTTCATTCAATGTTTATATTTCTATTAATTATTGTAATTACTAATGCAACAGAAAGTATTGTAAATAAAGAAGAAAGAAATAGAGAAGTAATTCACACACATAAATATGCAAACCAACTTAAAAGAATCTACAATTTATATAAAACACATTTAAAAAGTGAGGAGCCAGAAAAGGTAACACCAAAAATACCACAACCAGCAAGTCCAAAAACTCCTGAAACAGCAGAACATTCAGTAGCACAAGTACCAAAAGAAAATTCAGTATCAACAGAAGGCAAACAATCAGTAGTTGGAAATACAGACGCATCACAAAAGGAACAAGCAACAGCAAGCACACCATCATCACAAGCAAAAGCAACTGAAGAAACACAACAGATACACAACCAACAGCAACACAACAAGGTGCAAACACACAACAAGCACAATCAGCAGGAGCTTCCCCAACAGAACAAACTTCAACAGATACAACAAACCAGCAACAAGCACAATCATCACCAGGAACAACAACAAATACACCAACAGGACAAGAACAACCAGCAGTCAAACCACAACAACTTGAAACAACAAACAATGACCCAAAACCACAACCATCACAAAATCCACAAAAAGAAACACAACCATCAAAACAAGAAGAACAAGGAGAAGAACATAAACCAGAAATAAAAGAACCAGAAAAAAAAGAAAGAACCAAAAGATACTGACCAAAAAGGTAGCAAAGATGAAAAACCACAACCACCAAAAAATAACGAGAATAATGAACCAAACAAAGAAGATGGAAAGAATAATCAACAAAAACCAGAAGATGGAAATAAAGTAACAGACAACAAAGCAACAAGTAGTTCTGACAGTTCATCAGAAAGCAAAACAGATGACAGTTTTGATAGTCATAAAAACCTTAATGGTACTTCATGTATATTTGTTATTCTTTCTGTTGTTGTCACGTTTTTATTCTTATAATTGATGACTTTTTTGATATTTTTATTTGAAAGAATATCAAACATTAATAGTTAACACCTTTATCATAATTGTTACGACGTTATTTAACGTTTCAATTTCCTATTTATTTTCACCATTTTCCATTATAAACCAAAATTATGATATGTTGTTATTACATCCTTCATGAATTATACCATCATCAATATACACAAATAATAAAACAAAATAATAAAATACAGGTTTCAGAAGAAACAATTGAAAATAAATCAACAAATTTGTAAAAAAAACAATAATAGAAATAAATGAATATAACACTTCAATATTAACAATGTTCATTTGAATTTTATTAACTTAACTCTAATATATTGTAAATTCAGTCAATTTATACATCTTTTTCATAAAAATGTCATTACATTTTAAAATAAACAATAAAACTATTTTTACAATTGAATTGAGTATTAATTTTTATTAAATGTCTTTGGTTTCTTCATATTCAAATTTTATTCTATTGGAGATTTTAAATACTACATGTTTAACTTTGTTATATTTATTATAAAAATTATTGCTGGATATTATTCGTACAAATTAATAAATTGAATAAACTACCAATACTTTTCATTATATTTTATTGAATTACTTTTTGTTTAAATACTATCTTTCTAATTTTTATAATTATTGTTTTGATTTCTTTTACTACTTTCTTTTTAATTTAATTCATTTCCATCAACTATTTTATATATTTCATTCTCTTCTTCTCATTAAACTCGTGTTTCTTTTCATCTTTTTTATTATTTCATCAGTTTCTTTTCTTTGAAAGTAGTAATTAATATTGATACATTTTCTACTTTCATTTCTTTTACTTTA